CCCCGCGCTTCTGCTCTCACATTGACTTCTCACCTCGCCCCGCCCGGCGTACCTCGCCAGGCTGTGAGCTGGATCCGGCCCAAAGTCTTTGGTCCAGCGCTGCTGTCTGTCTGCTCTGCCGAGGGAGGGCCTGGACAGTCTGGGTGGCGGAAGCGAGATTACCCTTCCTAGCCTCACCCCGGACCGCCCAAGCCAGGAGGAAGCAGCGGCGAGGTCTGCGGGCGGTATGGAGGCAGGTCCGAATGAGCGCGGCTCGGGCCCGGCGGCGGGGGAGCAGCTGCAGCAGAGGCACGTCCCGTGCCAGGTCTTCCCCGAGCAGCCGGACCAGGGGACTTCTCAGCGGGGGTTCCTTTCCAGCTTCTTCACCAGCAACCAGAAGTGCCAGCTCATGCTACTGAAGACGCTGGAGACAAGTAGGAGCCGTGACCCGGAGACCGGGGGTCGGCCGGGTGGTGTCTGAGACTGGGCGGGCGGGAAGGGCCTGGGCACCCCTGGCCGGGGCTGCACGTTCTTCCCCGGAGCTGGGTGGGTCGGGTTCCAGCCCCTCAGTGCAGTATAGGCAGATTGGGCATCATGGGGGCGGCGTTGGTGGCCTGGGACTCAGTTGTCCCCTTTAAACACTTTCGCCTGTGGAATGAACGAGGACGTCAGACTGGGAGTTTGTCTGCTACAGTCACAGTCATTGCTCTGGCAGATCCTCTGATTTCTTATGTAAGCAACACGGTGACTTTAGGGTAGGAGTGAGACAGAGTTTTCAAGAGCGGCGTGAATTGAGGCATATATTGCTGCCAGTGCAAAAGCAGCAGTTTTACAACCTACCCTTCATTGGAAGGGGCATTAACCTTCATGTGTGAATGAGCGTAGAAATCCTGGGAAAAGTCTGTGAAATTGTATGCGTGTATGTGTCTAAGTGCATTTTTTCTGGGGGAAAGAGTTCATAGTTTCTTCATTTTCTCAAAGAGACCAATGACCCCGAATAGGCTAAGACCCATTGCTGTGGGGGACACAACTACCCACTGACCAATTTCTCTCTGGTCTCAGGAACAACACACTGGAGAAGATTTCTTAACTCCCTTTTTAAATTTTATTTTTATTTTTTGATTTCTTAACTCCTTTAACATTGACATAGACTTCCTCAGTTTACTTAAGATGCATTTGGAAAACCAAAATCATTTTTTTTTTTTTTGAGACAGTCTCATTTTGCCGCCCTTGGTGGAGTGCCATAGCATCACAGTTCACAGCAACCTCAAACTCTTGGGCTCAAGCTATCCCCTTGCCTCAGCCACCTGAGTAGCTGGGACTCCAGGTACAATGCTGGACCATTTTTATAGACATGGTCTCTCTCTTGCTCTTGCTCAGACCGGTCTTGAACTCTTGGGCTCAAGCAATCCGCAATCCTTGGCCTCCCAGTGTGCTAGGATTACAGGTGTGAGGTGTGAGCTGTGAGTTATTGTGCCTGGCGGAAACCCAAAGTCTTAAATGTTCTTGTCCCAAAGCAAGGATTCTATTTTATAGCTGGCCAGTCACAATTCAGAAGTCAACCACCCAAGGTTTTCCAGGGTTCTTGGGATTACCTAGGTGTTGAGATTCAAGGGAGGGGAGAGGAAGAAGAGTAGAGGATAAAGGGTGGGACAATGGTGGGGAGAGACACAAAGATGAGCAAGGACTCTGCCTATTTGAGGTGTTTCAGCGTGGGGTTCAGAGTCAGATGTGAGTTCAGATGCTGGTCTCTTTCCTCATTAGATGTGGAAGAGTGGCAGTCTCTCGGATCCCTTCTATCCATATCTGTAAAAAAGGAGGGGAAGGGATAAAGATACTTCTTTTAGGGTTGTTGTGGGGAATAGAATTTATGAATGTAAAGTACCAGAGTATTAGGAGCTGAATAAAGGGAGGCTGTTTTTACAGTGCAAGAGCCACAAGGTGGAGGACAAGTTGAAATAGGTGGGATGTGAGGAAGGTAGGGTGCTCCTGTAGGAATCAACCGCCCTCAACCTGAACCTTTAAAATTGTATTTTTGGGCAGGGGTGATGGGAGAAACCTGGCCTTGTGGGAGACCTTTTGTTTTTCTGAAAAGCAAATTTATTCTAAGTACTGTTGCAGGTTCTTTTTGAAGTTCCAAACCGCAGTGCTACCTGCAAGTTTTGTATTTATTAAATTTTTTTTAAGCAAGGGGACTACTGAATTTTGAAACCATATCAACTTTGTAAAATTCTCTTAATTGTGTAAACAATAATGCACTTAATATGGTACCTGACATTTGATATACACTAAATTAATAATACTTATTTTTAATAATAATTATTCTACTGTTCACATTCTTAAGAGGCAGCGGGGTCATTAAAGCAGTGACCTGTATCTAACTTTCTCATCTCATACCACTGTTCTTTTACTCACCTGTTTTTGCTTTTAGCTTTTTTTTTAAACTTTGGTTTCTTTTTCTTTTTTGGGAGGAATTATGTCACATAATTTGCTGTGCATGTATAGTCTCAGATGCCTTTGTGAAAAGTTGATATTAGAGGCATTTGGGTTTATTGTACTTTCCTGTAACAGTCGCAGGCTCATAGAGCCTTAGAAGTTGAACGGCCCTCAGAAATCATCCAGGCCTTCCTGTCCCACATGGGAAAACCTCAGTGCTGTCCCTGACCAGCTAGTCCCTAGACCTCTCCTGGAACAGGTTACCTGTTCTTTGAGTCTGCTCCTCTACAACAACTTTAATTGGAGGACAAGTCCCTTGTCATACTACGTCGAATCTGTCATAGGTAATTTCCACTCTTTGGTCCTTGCTCTGCCCTTTGAAGATACAATGACAGAGACACTTCCCACATGGCACCCCTGTACCACTGGAAACTGCTTTGGTTCTGGTTAAGTCTTCTTTCTCCTTTCTCAATCCCCAAATCCTTTCTTGCTTCTCACTGAACATAGTTCTGCACTATTCTAGTGACCGTCTCCTGCGGAAGGTCATTTAGAGTGTGGTTGGTACTCACATGGGGCGTGGTGTTCCCAGCGTGGTCTGACCAGGACAGTGTGGATTGTTCATTTTGAGGAATGTGGTCCAGAATTTCCTCAGTCTCTTGCTAGCTACTGTAATAAAATATATTTCATCATTTAACCAAAAATGGCCTCTAAAAGCATATTTGATACTGACTCAGGTGCTTGGGGTCCTGGCTTGGAATTTGTATTAATATTTAAGTAAAGACTTATTTTGATAATTTTAGCTTGTCTTTTCATTCCAATTTTTACCAGTATTAAGATAGTATTACATCTTTATAATTTATTTTTTGATGATTTGCTGCTATTTGGGTGATTTAACTGCTGCTACCTTTTCCAATTAGCTTACTGAATTAAATCAATCTCTTTCTAGATCCATATGTCAAACTTCTGCTTGATGCTATGAAATACTCAGGTTGGTAAGTACATCTTTCTGAGGTGCTGCTTTACGTTCTGGCTGTTAAAAACAGCCCTCCCCCAAACTGGAACTGCTTCAGCTTCCTCACTTCTGGTCATGAAGCCGTTTCCATAGGACAGATGGTGGCGACTAGCTGCCTTCTCTCCAGACAGGCCTTGTTCTCTGTGGACATTTTCTACCATAACTAACTCAATTCCAGGGTATACTACTGACCTTGGGAATTTAGTAAAGATAATACTCAAAATCTTTCTTGTAAGTAATTATCAAACCTGGACTTTCTACTACTCTAGCCTGAACATTGTTCTGATGGAGCCTCACCCTCTGCCCTGAGCAGAGTGCAGTGGTGTCATCATAGTTCACTGCAACCTGAGACTCAGGCTGTGGCCATCCTGCTGCCTCAGCCTTCTGAGTCACTGGGATTATCGGCGTTCACCATGGTCCCTGGCTTGGTTTTACACTTTTTGTGGGGTCAGGGTCTCACTTTCACTCAGACAAGTCTTGAACTCCTGAGCACAAGCAATCTTTCCGCTTCAGCCTGTCACCGTGCTGGGATTACAGGCATGAGCACCCCACCTGGCCAGATGTTCTTTTTTCTTTTTCTTTTTCTTTCTTTCTTTTTTTTTTTTTTTTTGAGACAGAGTCTTATTATGTCTCCCTTGGTAGAGTGCCGTGGTGTCATGGCTCACGGCAACCTCAAACTCTTGGGCTTAAGTGATTCTCTTGCCACAGCCTCCCAAGTAGTTGGGATTATAAGCGCCCGCCACAATGCCTGGCTATTTTTAGAGATGAGGTCTTCTCGCTCTGGCTCAGGCTAGTCTTGACCCTGTGAGCTCAGGGAATCCACCTGCCTCGGCCTTCCAAGTGCTAGGATTACAGGCGTGAACCACCGTGCCTGGCCGCAGATGTTGTTCTTAATGGAGAAGAAATCTCAGCTTACTGTGTAGAAGCCTTCCGGATGTTGTATAAGTTTGAAGGGACTAAAGGAAGTGGCTTCTGATGTCCCATTCTTGACATCCTGGCACAAGGGCAGGAACTTGAACATATTTCCAATGCAGTCTTAATCAGTTGCCCAAATGCTTTATGGAATCATATAGAACTTGAACTAGGATTCAGTTTTGCAAAGACAGTCCTCTTATTTTATAGATGAGAAAACTGAGTCCTGGGGGTGTTATACTGCTTTCCCAGGAGGCTCCCTGACTCCTGGCCTGGGGCTGTTTCCCACATACACACTGCATCTGCACATTGTTGCTTTTATCTGTGCTGCTGCTTTTTTTTTTTTTTAATACTCACCTATGTACTTCTATTTTTGCCTTTCAGTGCTGTTAACAGAGAAAGACACTTTTCTTGTGAGGACTGTAATGGAAATGTCAGTGGAGGTTTTGATGCCTCAACATCTCAGGTGGGTGTCTCTGCCAACTTGTTACCTTCCTTTTAATCCTCTGTCCTGATGTTTGCTGGTCACTTTCCACATTCTGGGCATTCTGTTTGGTAGACTTTGTGTAGAACTTTAAGAAATGAATTAGTCCTGGTTCTTACTCTTAAGGGGTTTACACTCTCACAGAGGAGATGAGACGTGAATACAGATTAATACACTTTGAGGCAGGCTGGACTTTCTGGGAGGGGCTTGGTTACCGTGGTGGGACAGTGCCCTCAGTGGGACAGTGATGTGATGGACTGCAAGATGTCAACAGCCTCAGCTGGAGGATATAAAGCCTCCCCGGGGCAGAGCAGGGGCACCAGGAGCAGAAGCGGCAGCTGGGAAACCACAGGGCATGAACTGGCATGTTGTCCAGTTTAGCTGGACACGAGCACCTGAGGTTTTAGGAGAAATAGAATTGGAAAGAAAGGAGGCATATGGGGGAGGCTTTAAATGCTAACAGCAGGTCTTATCTGTACATGCTGAGAAGAGATACAACCTGTGAAAATCTGGGGGGAGTGAGTGAAATCTGTAAACTATGGCGACTGATTCTATCTACCTTATAGAATGATGATGAGAATTAAATGAGATGTCTCTTCTAAAGTCATTTATCTTAGTGCCTGGCCATACTAAGCATTTAAGAAGTTTTTATTGTGAAGTCTCTCATTCGCACAGAGGGATGAAACACACATAGGTACATTTTCAGTAATAATGATAAAGTGAACGCCTGCGTAACTGCCTTCTGGATTTTTCTAACTAGAACATCTCCAGGACATCAGAAACCTGTGTGCTCTGGGAGTCCCTTCCCTTCTTTATCCTAACTTTGGTAATGATCATTCCCTGCTTTTCCGAATGGTCCTGCCATCTCCATACACAGTCCAAAAACATGTTACTTAGCACCCTGCTTTTGAGCTCTCTACGTGGAATACTGAGTTATGTGCAGTACTTTGTATTGTTATGACACTGTATTGTAGATTCTTCTGTTCGACACCGTGAGATTCTTTTATGATGTTGTATGTACCGCTCAGGTTTACTTAGTCTCATCGTTGGGTGGTATTCTACCCTATTTAATACTGATTGTTCCAACTTTGTTATTATGAACAGTGCTGCTGTGAGTATTCTTGACCTTTTCTGCTTGTGCTCGTTTGTGATAAGTTTCTCCGAGGTATAAGCCTGCTAGCAGAACTGTTGGGTCATGCTGTATGCATACCCTGAGCTTGAGCTAGTCAAGCCAAACATTTGGTTTCTAGTACACAGCACTCTTCTGTTGCTCCTTTACTAGCTTACCTTCCTCTGCTCATCCTTAAATGTTAAAGTACCTTAATCCTTGGTGTTAGAGCCCCTTCTTTTTTATACCAAGGGGATTCTGCCAAGGGGATCTCATTAATTTTCCAAGGTTCGAACTCTCTTTTGAGCTCCACATTCCATATACTCAAGTGCCCACTTAATACTGCTATTTAAATGTCTTAAAAGCACTTTAGACTTGACACGTCCAAATCCAAATCCGTGAGTTTTACCTCCCCTATATCCTCCTAATCTAGTCTCTTAGTTTGGCATATCTCAGCGGATGTACTACCATCTGTCCTATTACCTGGGCCAGAGGTTCACACATCATCCTTGGTACCTCCGATTCCTTCCCCATAGCCTATCTGCTGCCAGATTTTGTCCAGTTTACCTGTGGAATCCTGTCCGCTCCCTCCCACCATTCTAGCCCAGGTACCATTGCCTTTCGCCCAGGCAATGAATGACTTCATTAACTGTCATCTGGTTTCTCTGCATCTAAGTTTGGTCATCTCCCTATTCTTGTTGCTGTAGTTAAAGGATAAAAACTAAACAAAAGCACCCCCCTGTTATAACTCAGCCTTTCAGTGGCTTCCCATTGCTCTCAGGGTCAAGGAAAAGTCTCAGTGATTTGGCCTCTGCTGACCTCTCCTGCTCTGATGTCCACCCCAGCTCTGTGCTGCAGCTCCCTGGCCCTGCTTTCAGCTTCTCAGACATTCTCATCTTCCAGCCCTCCCCGTACTCTTTGTGTATGTTGTTTTCTCTGCCTAGAATACTCCCTTTTTTCTCCTCACCTCAAATTTAACTCCCATTCACCCATCAGATCCCAGTTCAAACATTCCTCCCCCAGAGAATCCCTTCCCCGCCCTCCAGACCAGCTCAGGCATTCTCCTTGTAAATGCTTATGACAGCCTGGGTTTTTGTTAGTGGCAGCTGTCATTTCATGTATTTGAACATTTTGATAAATATTTAATTTCTCTGTCCATTAGTAGATTATACATCTTTTTGAGGTCTCAGTAGATACTAGCTGAATCAATGAGTGTCGAGTGACTGTGTCGAGTCTCTGGCGTGTGTCCCAGTGTCTGGCATGCACAGTAAACAGCAGCTGCTACTCTGAGGATCCCTCACATCTTTCTTATTCTTATAGGGGCTGCTCAGGTGCCGCTGGCTTTTGCACTTCTTTCTGAAGGTCTTGGTGAGGACTTTCCCTGGCTTTTTCTCTCCTCATAGTAGGATGAGGACAGTGGTCATTATTCATTCTCTGCTCATTCAGAACCTTGATAAGAAGTCTCTTACATATATTCTCATTTAATTCTCACAGTTCTATGAGGTGGGTACTCTAATTTTTTCCCTCTTTCTAGTTAAGGAAACTGAGGCACAGAGAGGTTAAGAAACTTGCCCACGGTCACCAAGTTAGTAAGGGCTGGAGCTGAATTTGTATCTGTCTGTTTCATTCCAAAGTCTACGCTCTGAACCAGAGCACTGGGGAGTCCACAGCAGACGGGCAGAGTCAGCCCAGTGAGGACGCCACATGAGTACATGTCCTTAGTCTGAGAGATGCAGTCCAGAGGGAAAAGAGAGAAGCTAGTCCCCGGGGAAGGCTGGGCTGTTAGGACTGGGACCGGCTGGTGGGTGATGCAGGGTCGAGGGTGGAGGGTGGGGGGAGGTGAGCTTGTGGGAGAAAAGGGCGTCTATGAATGAAAGTAGATTTTCTAAGTCACTGAACCCCTCTTATTTTGGTGCCTCCTAGATCGTTTTGTGCCAGAATAACATCCGTAACCAGGCCCATATGAACAGGGTTGTCACCCACGAGCTCATCCACGCCTTTGATCATTGTCGTGCTCACGTCGACTGGTTCACCAACGTCAGGCATTTGGCCTGTTCAGAGGTGAGTTTGAGAAGATAATAAATTTTTTCCTAAAAAACTCTGTGTTTGAACATTTAAGTATAATTTATTTAAACTAACTTTTTTTTACTATTGTAGTTCTATTTTAATCTCGAATTTCTTTTTTTTTTATTTTAAATTTTATTTATTTATTTATTTATTTTGCAGTTTTTGGCTGGGGCTGGGCTTGAACCCACCACTTCCTGCTTATGGGGTCAGTGCCCTACTCCTTTGAGCCACAGGCGCTGTCCTAATCTCGAATTTCTAACTAATATTATATACAATTTTTTGAGATTACAACTAGAGAAATTTTAAATATCTGTGTAGAATTGCTGTAAATATAACCTTTAAGTCCTAATAATAGGACTGACGTTAGTAAAAATAAACTATTAATTTTTCCTGTGGAATAAATGATATAAAAAATTAATAATTATTGAAGACTGTTCTGTTTGTGTGGATTCTTATTTAGTCTCACCACAGCCCATCGAGGTAGATACCGTTATTATTTCCATTTTATGTATGTCTAACATGAGGCAGTTGTTTAGATTCCAAAGTTAGTAAGTGGCAGGCAGAGTTACTACTGGAGCTTTTTTTTTTGAGACAGAGCCTCAAGCTGTCCCCCTGGGTAGAGTGCCGTGGCTTCACTGCTCACAGCAACCTCCAACTCCTGGGCTCAAGCAACTCCTGCCTTAGCCTCCCAAGTAGCTGGGACTACAGGTGCCCGCCATAATGCCCAGCTATTTTTTGGTTGCAGCCATCATTGTTGTTTAGGAGGGACAGGGCTGGACCCGAACCCGCCACCTTAGGTGTATGTGGCTGGCGCCTAGCCACTTGAGCCATAGGCGCTGAGCTACTACTGGAGCTTTTGACAAGTTGGCTGTGTTGCTTTCCATAGGTAGAGTTTCTTGTTTGCCCTAGAGTAAAACATATAGTCTCAAAAATGCAACATAAAAAGATAGTTCTTATTAAACACCTGGATTGCTCCCAGAAATATACATATAGAAGTTTCTGGAGAAACATGTATTTCATACTTGGATTTCATTAACTGAAGAGAGCCATGCGGTGAGAAACTAAACACTGAATATATATCTCAAGCGTACACTTTATAACTTAGCTTATTTTCTATTTTCCTTGAAAGTAATAAGTGGTCCCAGGACATCTAATTATAATTCATATTATTTGGAGAGTAGACCAAAACCTGAGGGTTTTTTTTTTTCTTCATGAGTTTGCGTGTCATCCTTGCTCAGGGGCCATGCTAATCTTCTCTGTATTGTTCCAGTTTTTTAGTATATGTGCTGCTGAAGCGAGCATTGACACGTGAGTTTTTAAATAGGTTTCCCTCTGGGGTGCTATGACAGTGCATGCCTGTTAGCTAGTTAAAGTGTGTTATGAACCTTGAACTTGAGGAATGAGGTCATGTTACTGCAGAAGTTACAAGAAGTCCATTCTCTTGGTAATGAATTAGCAAAAATGTGGCCGGTATCCGTAGTTCTAAGAGTTTTTCATCTATTAAAATATAATCAATTGGAAATTTTTACCTTAAAAGTACAGTAATTAGAAAATATGTGCTAACTCCAGGCTGTCATCCTTAAAGCATGATGGGTTAGAATGCCCTTGACTCCTTGTGCTTCGTACTGCTTAATGTTTCACACCACCCTCAAGGCCCTGGAGGAAGGTCGCGAACGTCCAAGGTTTGAGAGAAGGTCCAAGAGATATTTGTGCTTGGACAGGGAGAGTCGTTTGTATTCAGTTTTAAACTCATGTTGATACTCAATTTCAAGAATGCTTTCTTGAAGTCTTTTTGGTAATTTCTACAAGAGTTTGTATCTTATACAGAGTGTGGACTTTAACCCTGAGGTCTAACTCACTGACTTTTAGTTCTAAGAGAAATCAGTCAGTAAAGCTAGAGTGTAAAATTCAGAAAATTCCTTTGGTGGGAGGTGGCTGAACATCCCTCCACTGAACTTGACATCATCCAGCGTGGCTCAGAGACGCCTGCTCTGATGTCAATAGAGATAAGAAAATTCTCTTAGAAAAGTCTTACAAATACTCTGTTCTGAGAAAAACATGCTAATTTTATATTCTTTTCCAACTTTTAAAGGACTGGTTGATTTTGTAAAGAGCATGTGCCTTTATTTTCTTTTCATTTGCCTTCTGTGTTTTGTGGTAGGTTCGAGCTGCCAACCTTAGTGGAGACTGCTCACTTGTCAATGAAATAATCAGGTTACGTTTTGGATTAAAACAACACCATCAGGTAAAAACTAACATGAGCTCACCTCCCTTCAAGAGTGTAACAAGCAGAAATAATGAATAAAGAAATGAGAAGTACATTTAGAACTACCTAAATTAAAAGAATACAAAATGTGTACCATTTAAACAACATAGGCGGAATTTAGTTATACCGTATAATTATGGGTAAGTTACCATAAGTGACCGAGTGAGAGATTTTAATAATAGAGAGCTAGGATCTTACTCTGGGAAACTTTTGGATGGGTGTGGATAAGGAGTGGAAGTGAAGTTACAGCTTGTCTTGGTTTTATCCTAACAGTCCTGGACTTAGGTTTTGGAATCTATCATAGCATTTTGGAGACAAAAAATGTGATCCATTTCAGAATGGAGACTGCAGTTTAGTACAAGGGGTGGCCGTCTGTCAGCACACCTGCACGCGTGTGATGCACTAGAAAAGCTTTGCATTGGCACATTCGATCCATTGGTTAAGAGGAGCTGAGCTGAGACGGAAGGAGTTTGTGAACAAAACAAAAGCACAAGAAAACCCACCAGAAGCCAAGACTCTCCTGCTAGAAAGCCTGAGATGTCTGATAGACAGACGGGGAGAGAGTGTAGAACTCCTGGACTGATAATGAATGAGAGCCGTTCTGGCCCCAGCAACCCGGGGCTGTGTCCGCAGGAGAAATGCTGGTCAGAGGTTTTCTATGGGAAGAGCTTGCTGGGCCGATTTGTGAAGTATGTGAACCTCAGAATGTCAGTTTCAACTAGGCAGAAAAGCATAGGCCGGGACCACAGGGAGGCCTGTGGTTCTGCAGAGGGGAGAGTAACTCCACTCTGGGATGGGGGGCGGAAAGTCAAAGTGATGACTGATGGAAGTTGTGCACTCAGTGAACGGAGCCTGGACAGGGTCATTACTCTGACTGGACTGTGGGCTTCAGCCTGTGCCCGGACAACTTCGTGATGTGGCACTGACTGGTCTTCTGCCACGTGTCTTCTGTGTCCCTGAATCCCTGCGTCGCTGGCACATTCTGTGTGTTCTGGCTCAGTGGAGAGGGTAGTAGCCTGGTTCACGTCAGCTTCCCCTAGAGAAGAGGATAATGTGGTTCAGGCATGTGGCAGCAGGACTCACTTGTCTGTTATTGTTGTCAGTAGTGTTTAAAACGTTCTCAGAAAATGTGCTAACTTTATATTATTTAACAATTTTCAAATATCGGTTGATAAGGTAAAGAAATAGAGGGCGAGCGTTTCTTTTCTGTTCATCTTCGTGGTAGGTTCGAGCTGCTCCCAGGGTCCCCTCTTCCTCCACTGGGTGGGCGGAGTATGTGGGGAGTGTGGCCAGGAAGAAGCGTTAGAGTGGAGCCCTGTTTGTAGAGCATGCAGCTGGGAAGTGTAATCAGCAGGTCTAGTAGCTGCAAGATTGCACAGTAACACTTTTATTTTATTTTTACTTTTTATTTTTTTTTGAGACAGAGTTTCACTACATCACCCTCGGTAGAGTACAGTGGAGTCACAGCTCACAGCAACCTCAAACTCTTGGGCTTAAGCGATTCTCTTGTCTCAGCCTCCCAAGTAGCTGGGACTACAGGTGCCTGCCTCAATGCCTGGCTATTTTTTTGGTTATAGTTGTCATTGTTGTTTAGCTGGCCTGGACCGGGTTTGAACCTGCCAGCGCTGGGGTAAGTGGTCGGCACCCTAACCACTGAGCTATGGGCGCTGAGCCAGTAACACTTTCATTTTACTAGAAATTTATTATGTTGGGAAAGAAGTAAATCTGGATTTGGTCCACACTTGTGTCTCCCAGACCTGTGGCTTCGGGAGGCAAGTTTTTGGCACCTGTTTTTCCTTTGAGAGAAAAAATTGCCTCTTTTTGTCAGTTGTGGCTCTGTTGGGTTCTTCTTGTCCTTGTCTTTTGTGACTAAGGTTTGTTTTCAGAGTCAGTGTTTGGTATAATGCAGGCTGAGAAGCACTAGCTGTGTTCCAGCCTCAGCAAGGATCTCAGCTCCCGCAGGCTGACCAGGCCCAGGCAGAACTGGCAACAGGAAAAGAAAATTGATGACCATCAGGAGGCACAGCTGTCAAAACCAGTGCTGGTTATTTTTTAGGAAAAGGTCCAATGCCCTTCTTTTGAGTCTTAGTTTGGCCTGGGAAGAAGTAAATGAGTTAAAATAACTCTGAGAATTGGAATGGCAGGACCTTGTATTTCTTAAAATATTAAGTAAGAGTATTGAGAAATTCTAGTCAGTTTCTATGTAATATTAATATTAGGTAAATTAGTTTTTGGGAACTTTGGTGACTTTTCACATTAAGACATTAAGACATATTATTTGGAAGACACTGCCTTGAACTTTAGAGAATGATATCTTAGATTATTGGAAAAGAGAAAATGGAAGTCTTATACCAATCTAAATAATTTTAGATTGAGCTAAATATGCTTTGTTATTTAGAAGTTATATTTCTTTATTAACTTTATTTTCTTTTTTGAATGATAAAAATTAATAGGAGAGGAAATTAATTTTAATTGTGTTTCAGATTGTATTATTTTGAATCATGCCTGTAATTCTGGCACTTTGGGAGGCCAAGGTGGCAGAATCGCTTGAGGCTAGGAGTTCCAGACTAGCCTGGGTGACATAGTAAGGCCCGTGTCTATAAAAAGTAAAAATAAACTAGCCAGGCCTGATGGCATGTGCCTGTAGTTCCAGCTATTTGGGAGGCTAAGGTGAGAGGATTGCTCGAATCCAGAAGTTTGGGGTTGCCATGAGCTGTGATTGTGTCACTGGACTCCAGCAACAAAAATACTGCTTGGCACCCGTAGCTCATTGAGTAGGGCACCGGCTACATACAGCAAGGCTGGCAGGTTCCAGCCCATCCCAGTGACAACCGTGACAACTGCAACCAAAAAATAGCCCGGTGTTGTGGTGGACCCCTGTAGTCCCAGCTACTCGTGAGGCTGAGGCAAGAGAATCACTTAAAACCAAGAGTTTGAGGTTGCTGTGAGCTGAGATGCCACAGCACTCTATTGAGGGCCATACTGAGACTCTGTCTCAAAAAAAAAGAACAAAACAAAAATACCCCAAAATATATCATTTCATGATTAAAGTTTAATATAAAATTAAAGCCATGCACTTTTTCTTTTTTTTAGACTTGTGTACGAGACCGAGCTGTTCTTTCTATCCTGGCTGTTAGGAATATCAGCAAAGAAGTAGCTCAAAAGGCTGTTGACGAAGTTTTTGAATCTTGTTTCAATGACCATGAACCTTTTGGAAGGATCCCACATAACAAGACGTATGCAAAATACGCCCACAGAGACTTTCAAAACCGTGATAGGTATTACTCAAATATATGAAGACAATAACATTTTCTATTACAGAGCTTCATTGACTGTGAAGGAAAAAATATGGTTCTCAAGTGAGCCTGCATATAAACCATAAATGAGCAGTTAAATACAGATAAAACACAGAAGTCTGTGATTCTAGCATGACCGGAAAAAGTCACTATGGCAAAAAGTGAAACTGCCTTAAGCTCCAAGGCAGAAATTGTATTTTTATACCTATTTGGTAAATTAAGGTAAATAAATTACATTTTTGTATTTTCTAGAGTGTACTTGTTTCTTTCGTGTGTGTTTTATTTTTATTATTGTGATTTTTTTATTAAATGTGATTATTTTAAAATTTGATTATGAGACTTGTGAAGTGTGCCCTTATATGATGTTGATAGGGACAATTATTGGTATTTACATTAAGTTTAAAGAAAAATGTCCTGATCTCACTGTAGCACACTAATTGCGATGTTGACATGATAAAAGGTGGGACTAATTCATTCGATGGTCAGTGCTGTCCTCTCACCTGTTCTTGTTTAACATGTATGTGAGGACCATGTGGCCTAATTTTCGGGAGACAGTCCTGAATAGATTTTAAAATAAAGTCAGCTCATTAAATTCAAAATACAATCTAATTTAATTTTTATGTATTTATAAAATTTTTCCTATAATCACTCTCAAATCTTTCATCATGCCCTGGATCAGAATTTTGGATTCAGAAAACACGGTCACATCGTCTGTACTCTTAACACAGCAGGATCCGCGTCCTCCACGTAACTCTAACGGCTGCTGCTTTAACCTGCTCCTGGCAAACGCCACTCGCCCTGGGCCTAAACTGAAGGATGGTGATGCCCGGGTAGATGTAGCTGATGAGAGGCTTAAAGACAGTGAGGTTAGCAGGGTTCTTCCTTTAGAGTGAACATTTGATTAAATATAAATTACAAAGTAACACTTCAACCTAATAACTGATTACAAGGTTGTGTCCACAGATTTGGGAAGTTTCTCCTTTATTTCTCTCCTGGGCATTTTCTGTCCCATTTTTTTCATTCCCCTCCTCCTTCTGGAACTTGAATTTTACATATGTTGACTTCTTCATATCTTCCTCTGATGCTCCGTTTATTTTTCTTTTTTTTTTTT